GAAAACGGAGGAAATAAAATGTATGAATGCATGGCCCTTTAGGGCTTCCGTACTGAAGCTCACTAATTAAACCCTGTAAAGACCTTTTTTTGTTTTTGGTTTATGTATTTTCTGGCACTTAATTGGTGCACTTTAGAGGGTTTTTGTTTTGTTTTGTTTTTTTGCGCATTTTGAACCGCTGGACTGATAAGCTAGCTATTTCCCCCTGGTTCTAGTCTTCCAAGCTAAGCTAACTGGCTGCTAATTTTACCTTAATTTACCGTGGAGAAATAAGAGCTATTGATCTTCTCATCTAACTCTCGGCAACAAAGTAAATAACTAGGGCTGCACAGTTAATCGAAATATTATAGGAATCGCAATATGGAGTGCAACATGCAAATCGCTAATTATTATTAGAGCTGTAATTATTTGTTAAAGGTAAAATGTTTGATAGAACAGCACCATAATGAAGTACTGTAGTGCTGCAGAGGGGCTCTGGTCTACAAATCTTGTTCTCCAGATTTAAGGAAACGCTATGTGCTACTCCTTAGCCACAGTATACAATATATCACATATAAATGGAGGCAATGAATGAATAAATAGAACAGTGAGTGAATAGACAGACGTGTCCTGTACAGTCCTAAGTTTTAGTGCCAGTAGATTTTAATTGAAATGTATTTTTTAAATCGCTGCACCCACTAGTCCTGCAAGAGGAAATTAATGGCAGGGAGTAAATTACAATAAATGGTACAGCATCGTTTTCTGATTCCTATCTGGTTTTAAAGGTGTCTTTTTGACACGTGAATGTGTGCGCTTTTACATTAATGATGATAACTAATCCACTGTAGTTTGGGCGATGTCATGTGAGGAGGCAAACTATATACTATGAGCGTCATATAAAAATGCTGCTGATTTACACTAATCACGTGTCATGTGTCAGGGCTTTGACAAATGCTGCCTATTGACCTTGCAGTGATGACAGGGTAATATGAGTAATGCTCCTGTCCTGATATGAGGCAGTTCCTAAACTGTAACGTCAGATCCCCTCCAGCTCTGCCGCCGCTGGGATCCGATCACTGTACGGGCTTGAACTTGCTCCAAGGTCAGAGTCAGCTGATGTTCTGCTAATCTGTCACAATTGGGTTCGGTTCTTCACAGCTGGTTTTCTAGTCTGGGGATTAAATATTGGGAGAGGGGCAGGTGGATATTACATTTACTTCTACTGTTTTATTTGGCACCCGTTTTGTTTTGATTTCTGAAGCATGATTTTAATACTCTGTTTGATAGCTTAACAATAAAGCTGTTAAGCAGCTATGCTTACTTTCAATTTCAATCATTTTAGTGCATATGGAAAATTTTTCATTGTGTGATCACATGTACTCACATTGGATGAAAAACCAGCAGACCAACAAGCACATTACAACAGAAAATGACTGACTTTTTCATCCAGTTACACCCGTTTTAGTAAATAAAATCAAAATAACTAAAAGTTAGTATCTGTAGATCTGCCTACCCTACATTAACCTCCTTCCTGGTGGTGCAGTAGCAGATGGTGGTGGACAAAACTCAAAGCTCAGTCCACCCAAACTTTGATAGGAAGGCAGCTGGTGTGGACACTGATTGTTACGGATTTTCTGGTCTCTTGCATTCATTTGCTGTGTGCTGCTATAGTGTGAACCTTGACTTTTCATCTGGGATGATTTGGATGCATCCCCACCCCGGGTTGCATTACTTTTCTCTTCGGATTGACTGGGTGCAGCGGGTGTCATGTGTGCGCGAAGATTTACAATACACCCACCTGATCCAACACTTTAGGAGAGCGATTCCACAAAACAGACGCGCACTCCCTCTCATTTCCTTTGCGATCCCCACGAAAGCAAAAACACATCAGATGAAGACATGCTGCAATGTGAAGTCTAAGATTGGATTTCAGAGGATTTGTTTTGATAAGTCGCTCATGAAGCTTGTTTATTTTTCTACAGCCTATGTTTACAACAACACAGCATTTTAAAACCAGATGTGTCAAGAGGAACAGATTGTGTTGAATGGAAATAACCAGTTGTGAAAGCACTAAGACGGATACACACACACACTTACTGCTGTGTCGTGACCTTGGAGTGAGCAAAGTATTAAAACAAAAATTGCTGACAAACATATTACGTAGCAGAATCATCCGCAGATCTGTGGGATCGCACCAATGCCAAACTATACGCCGTAGGGATTAGATATTGGCTAATAGTGAATTAATTCTGGATTGTGGGTGAGAATCAGTAATTTATGATTCAACACTACCAGGATGTGTTGCACACAGTAATGGTATCGTGATATCATTTAAATTAAGGGAAGAATATACCCCAAAAATAACCAAATTAAGAATCAGTGCAAGCTTTTTTAAGAAACGTCCAACATGCAGAAATATGCAGATCCAAGTATAAAACAGCCCAAAAAATGTCTAAGATACACAATCCATGAGAGATTTCCATACAGTTCATTCTTGCATTACATTGTATTATGACAGTAAAGTTGTGTTTGTAACTTTGACAATATACTCCTCTAATGTGTTATATAGTAGTCTAACAGTTTAATGTCAACCTGCATAGTTTGGCTAGTTGTACCAAGCCTACATGCCCGGATCACATAAATATATCATTATGATGTGTGTGTGTAACTGTTGTTTTGTAGATGAGAGACACGGCACCCTCAGGCTGAGCAACCTCACTAAAAGCATGTCAGGGAAGTACATCTGCCGAGCCAGCAACACTGCCGGCTCCGACAGCTGCTCCATTAACCTGGAGGTTATCACCTGTACGTACGCAGTTAAGACTCTGCTTTTACTCCACTGCACACACACCATTGTTCAACAGTGTGTTTTATAAATAACACAGCTGTGACACTCATTAGGTGTCAGTACTGACCTGTGATCTGTTTCCCAGCTTCCAATGCAGGCATGATTGCAGCAGCCACACTGGGGTCGATAGTGGGACTGGTGGCCATGGCGCTCTTCCTCATATTCATACTGAAAAGGAGGCGGGACACCGAGGAGGAGATAGCCAACGAGATCAAGTGAGAGTTTCACTATACACTAAGTGGACAATTTACTAGGTACACCTGTACCAGTGCAGCACAACGCACAGTGTGTATTGTAGATACTGTAGATTGTACAGGTGTACCTAATACCTTAAAGTCTTTAATTTAATAATTTGCACCCAGACTGTGACAGCTGTTACACATTATTTATTTGCAGTGGTGAATTTACTCAACTTAAGTTGTGAGTCACTTGTATCTCACTTGAGTACTGGGTTTTATGTTTCTTTATATTTATAGGCCCAAATTCTAAATAAATTCACAAATAAGTAGGGGAGCATGAGCACACACATTTTCTTCTTTCAGTTTTATTTATTAAATCAAATAAAAGCAATAATCTATCTGCATTTAATAATTATATTACTGTTTTGATAAGAATAATGCATTGAAATGCTTATTTCTGAAGTCAGTGGTACTTGCATTGCAATACATTTCAGAAGAAACATTGTAAATGTCACAGAAATATTCTTGTCTGACAGCTATAAGTTACTAGAAACTTTAATTATTCAGACTTTACGTAACAAAATGTATGATCATCTGATGAAATATAATCTGTTGTTATAGATTAAATGAACCAATAATTTAGAAAGTTTGTAAAAGTGGCTCCACCATGACCAACTAAATCATTAAAATAGGGCTTACATCATAATGCTTTGGTAATAATATTTCAGCAGTATACTGTAGATGTGTAATATTGTTGCGACTGTTCATATTGACAATGACATAAAGTTTATTTTTGTATTTAAAGACAGAACAAGCCGGTGATATTACAATGTACCCTTATATCATAAATACTGTATGTGGGTATGGAAATGTGTCACAAAAAAGGATCAAGACAAATAAATATATCTAAAACAATATCCACAAGCAAAAATGAATCAAATGAAAATCAAACCAGCAACAATCGAATAAAAAATATACAAATATATAAATATATGTTATTAGCACACAAAAAAGGTCAGAATGTCTACTTATGAATAACATTAGCAGTCAAAAAAACTATTCTCAACATAATCAATGAAGTAAAAGGTCAATTTAAAGTCACATCACGACCTGTTTGATCCTCCATATAAATGAACGATAGCCTTCCCTATAAAGAGGATGTATTATCACTTTATTTGAGTAAGTCAAGATTTCACCTATTTCCTTTTTGTCTTCATTTTCATTAACTATGAGTTTCTCTTTCCTCTCTGTCTGCCATAGGGAGGATGCTCAGGCACCGAAGCGAGTGTCATGGGCAAAGAGCAACACCGGCTCAGACATCGTATCCAAGAACGGCACGCTGTCCTCCATAGCCACCAGCCCCCGACCCCGAGACCCCCACCAGCCAAACTTCCACTACCCGTACTCCCCTATCTCAGCTTCAGACAGCTCAGTGATCAACGCCTACCAGCTGCGACCTGGAGAAGCCAACACGCTACAGGGACTTCCTGGTTACAACATCGGAGGCACCCCATCACGCAAACACAAGCGACCTCCCAGCACGAACGGGGGCCCTCCGCAGGTTCTAAGGAGCCCTGTGGTCGCCGTCCCCAACAGGACTGAGGGGGCTCAGCCTCAGGTGCCACCTCCACTCACTGTGTCCCCACAAATGAGCTCCTCCACTCTGACGCGCATGGGAGCCGTTGCTGTCATGGTGCCTGCTCAAAGCCAAGCCGGCTCACTGGTGTAGCCGGCGGAAGCGTCTCTGACGAGGAATAAAAGGGACAGTGGTTGTGGATGGAGAGAAAGTATGCCTTGAAATGGAAAAGCACGTTCTCCATGAAGACCCGGGAGGTAGTGAGAGGGGAAAATGCCTCACAGGTGTGGTTTGTGCTTCATTTGCACAAAATCTCCCTTCAGCATATAAAGTTTCTCTTTGTATGCTGCTTCACTAAAAAGGAATATATTTTTATTTACACGCTTATAAACAGATCTTCAAAATCTCATCCAAAAGTTGTCACGTTTTTTTAGGAGTATACATATAATGCCATTTATTTCAAGAGAGTTAAAGGGACCAGTGTGTAGGATTCAGTGGCATCTAAAGGTAAAGTTGCCGATTGGAACACCCTCGCCTCACCCTCCCATTCCGAACATGCAGGAGCAACTACAGTGGCCAGGAAAAACAACAAAAGGCCTTATCTAGAGCCAGTGTTTAGTTTGTCTGCTCTGGGCTACTGTAGAAACATGGCGATTCAATGTGACAAACATGGAAGAGAGTCTGCTTCCTCTGTAGATAAAAACAACTAATTCTAAGGTTATGAAAACACAACCATTTCTGGTGATTTTCAGGTGATTATTAAAAACACTAATAAAAACATACCTATGAATAGTATATTCATATACATATACATTTCTGCCAATAGATCCTCCTAAATGTTACACACTGGACTTTTAATGCAGTGTGTCTAGATACTGTTAACTATATTAAACAGCTAAGTTAGTTTTGCAGGTCTTGCAAAAAGTATATAAAATTTTGGCTACATTTGTACAATAAAAGAACAAAGTAAAAATAAACACATTTTTATAATTTAATTTCTATGTCACTGTACCTGGCTGTGTAAGTATCACTTCTCTCAGGCTATCTGCACTAGTTCAGAGCAAGAAAAAGACCCAGCAAAGTCACAATTCAGGTATTTAATTCAAGTAATCTTTCAAACGTCTCGCTTTTCTTTGACCCACATTTACGCGTGTTCATGTGAGGGTTGTTTATTTGACCTTAAAGTTACAATGTCAGTACGGTTTCATGACACTGATGTCTGCTGAGAGAACATACTTTGTGAGTATATTGCCTGTAATGGTAGATGGAATGTAACCAAAATAGTGAGTACGACATTGTTGAAGTTGATCATTTCTGACTATTTTGTTCAAAGGTGCTTTGTATAACTTGATATAACTACTGCAAACCTACGGGGCCATTAGCTGAGGAGAGCGCTGCTGATGGTCTTGTTTGTTTTCTTGTAAGTATACTAAACTCTGCAAATGATTTGGCAGTGATGTGTTGAAGCAGAAAAGCTACGTGTAGCACTTTCAATGCAGTTTTGATTGTTGACAGTTTTTCAATAAAGTGTTCTGGAGTGTTTGGTTTTAGCATGTCTGACTTAAAATCCCTTATAAAACACAATTCATATAAAATGACTGTAAATAATAGTTCCCAATCGGGTGACAATAAAAAGGCTGATTCTTTTTATGCAAGCTGAGGTTATTTTATTTGGAGTGTGATCAGAAACATAATTTGCAAAGTGACATTTTAAACCACAATACACCACCCATATATTTTTAAATGTAGCACACAGCATGTTTTTGTCTGTGGCCATTTTACACACTACAGAAGACACAACAGGGTAAGAAGAAAAATAAGATCTGAAGGCCACTTAATGGGCAGAGATGCTTAGACTGCATGTGATATAGATGTGTGATGTACAGTAGAACCACCATATCCTTTATTAACACTGATGTTGGTGTTTAAATGAATGGGGGGGAAAAACAGACATCTTTTCACAAATTGAAACTGTTAGAAGAGGTAAGGTAAAGAGCAGCTTTATAGAAAAACAAGACTACAGTATATCCACACTGGCATCTTCACAGGAAGCAACCTTTTTGTTCCCAAACTCAAGTTTTCAGCTATAGTAGCAGTATGGCTTTAGGATTGGCAATACCAATAGGTCAGTTGGTCCACCACTTAAAATATCTCAACAATTGTATTTTGTAAAGACATTCATGGTCCACAGAGGACGAATCGTACTAACCTTGGAGATTATATTAATTGTCCTCTGCTGTCACCATTAGGTTGATCTTTACTATTGTATTCATTTCCATGAGATGTTTTACACACATCTATGTCTCTCTCTCCAGGATGAATTGTAATAACACACCATCAGGTCAAGATTTCACTTTTTCCAAATACCCACAAAACGAATGACATTCCCATCAGCCTCAGGTGTCCTTTGTTATTTGAGCTAATTAGCAAATGTTGGCATGCTACTAAGATGCTACACCTGCTTAACATCGGTATGTTAACGTTGTCACTGTGAGCATGTTAGCAGGCCGGTGTTATGGCTCAAAGCACCACTGTGCCTAAGTATAGCCTCACAGAGCTGCTATGACGACAGCAGACTCTTGTTCCTACGTACAATGGCTTTAATATGACTCATGGCTGTCATATGGCTCATATGACGGACAAACACTGTGAGTGTTTATGAGTTGCATTCTGTACTTAAATAAAATGTGCTTTGTCTACTTTAATTATACATTAGATCTGTTGAATGCTAATGTATATTTTATTTTATTTCATATATTAGCAATCATCTCGAAGTATAGCCTGGAATTCAGTCAATACATAAAGAAGTGTAGTTGGTGCCAGGGGGTCACTGCTTTCATTTGGATTCATCCTCTTTTAACAACAAATGTGTTACATTTACTTGGAAATCTGTGCAATTGTTACTGAGATATTTCACTGTAGACCAGTGTCAGACTGATGAATCAACATTGCCTTCCCTAGAGCCTTGCCACCTGTGTAGATAAAAATGAAACAAACTAGAAAAACCTACATTTTACTGACTGGTTTACCCCAAATCCTCCAATGACCTTTGTCAGCGTTAGAAAACCTGCGATCCAGAGGGCATTTTAGGACGCCAGTCACACAGTAACAAACCCGAGAGGATGACCATAACAACATGGTCACTACTGCAGTCACTTGAAGACCCAGGGGAAAAGATTCATCATGACTCTGTCAGCAGATTTCGGGAAATGATCATCCTCATCACCTCATTTGTGCCTTTAAGGGAAAAAAGGGAGGAAATAAAAGAATCACACAAACTGTAATTGTTACAAAATCATAGCATGAAGGCCCCTCTTAAATTTCAGGAACTTAATCTTTCAAATGCGATACGCAAAACACGCAGGATAAGATCAAAGTTATAGACAGTGTAGTTATATATAAAGCTCACCTTCTAGGATCTGATGTACTCTGATGTCCCGGACAAACTGCTGCACTGCGTAGTCTTTGAGGTAACCGTACCCACCGTGCATCTGAAGAGCCTGGTTGCAGATCTGTTGAGCAGGAACAAATGTAGAAAAGTGAAAAAAGGGAAACAAGTGCAAACACCACTCCTACTATCACACGGTATCACTCACATTAAAACACTCATCTGTGGCAAAGAGCTTGGCCATGGCGCAGAGAGAAACTGCATCAGACCGGCTCTCCTGCAGCGCCGTCGCAGCTTCACGCACCAGAAGACGAGATGCAACCAACTTGGTGGCCATTTCTGCCAGTTTGAACTGAAGAAACTACACACACACACACACACAAACACACACACAGAGAGAGAGAAGGACAAATTAAAGAGAACTTCTCAGGAGCAGTAGCTAAGCAATTTGGATCTTGGTTCACTGGATCCTTGGAAAATGCAGCTCCTTTACCTGGTTGTTGGAGAGCGTCTCTCCAAACTGCTTGCGTACCAACAGATGATCCCTCGCTAGCTGTACGCAGGCATGTGCCGCCCCAAGAGAACAAGACGCTGTTGGCAGAGTGTTTATATGAAAACTGCTGATTGAGAAGCTGTTTTTACTCTTAAAGCTAGTATGGAACTAAATAACAGCCCATGATAAAACAGTATATCAGTAGAAGAATAGTAGCACAACTAGAGAATTACACTTGGCATACTTACTCTAATGTCAGTTACGCATCAATATATCTAGAGTTTGCTAACATTAGCCACCATAAGCAACTGGTCCAGCCAAGTAAAGCTGCAGCTGCAGTTTGCAGTGAGTGTACTGACTTGAGCTAGGTTGTATTTTACTGCCAATGAAGTTAACTTTTAATTCATAAAAGGAAGAATCCTCTTGGAAAGGTTACACAGTCTTCCAAAAAACAAGACTCTTTTCTTTTTTTAACAATATGCTCGCATCTGTTTCCACCTGTTTAGGAGACTGACTCGCTATGGTTTACAAAATAATTTCTTAAATCTACAGAAAATCTATGGTTTCATTTAATAATTTCCATTATGAGGGTGAATCTGTCATTTTCTATAACTATGGGAATACATTACATATCTAAGTATTGTTAACTGTAGGATAATACATGTTGTAACCACTTTGATAGTATTGTCCTCCTCACCAATATTAATCCGGCCTCCATTCAGGCCTTTCATGGCGATACTGAATCCTTGTCCCTCCTCACCGAGCCGGTTGGTCACTGGAACGGCGCAATCCTCAAATATCACCGCTCTGGTCGGCTGTGAGTTCCAACCCACCTGGAGAACAGATTGAGAAACAGCCGAGTGGACGATGACTTAATTCTGCCATCTAGTGGTTTTCTGCAAACACTGGCTACAGTGCAACATAATTAAAAATCACCACAACACTAATGAACTCTACCTTCTTTTCTTTTTTGCCAAAACTGAGGCCCGGGGTTTCCTTCTCTACCACCAAACAAGAGATTCCTTTCGGTCCTTTACCTCCTGTTCTGCACATCACAACATAGACGTCGGTGTCTCCTCCTCCGCTGATGAAGGCCTGAAAGAGACGAGACGTGTGTTTCCGCCTCACTGTTGTCTTTTTAACAGAAACTGGTCGCAGTTACATCGTGAGCATACACAGGCTTTGGAGTTACCTTCGAACCATTTAAGATGTAATGGTCACCTTTCAGCTGCGCTGTGGTCAGAAGTGAAGCAGCATCACTGCCACTGCCTGAAATCAAAGACCACATGTTTATTATGTTCATCTTTAACTGAGGTACACGTGTGTATTAGAGAAACAGCACAGATGGTACTTACATAACCAACTAAATTATCTTTAATTTGCAATACATATAGAAGAAAAAGACTGACCCGGTTCAGTGAGACAATAGGAAGCAAACTTTTCCATCGAACAGAGATCAGGACAGAACTTCTCTCTCTGCTCAGTGTTGCCGAAGGTGTCGATCATCCAGGCACACATGCTGCAAATTTGCAGGCAAAGAAAGTATGAGTCACGGCGATCGTTATGGTGTCCTATATAGTAGTGAGAGGTCACAGTGTAATTCAGTTACCTCTCCTTTACAATATATCTGACAAAGTAGGAAGGTTATTTGAAGAAAATTATGTTTCACAACCACCAAAAACTTCTTTTCTATTACATGTTTCAACTTACTGAAGCTGTAACTCTGTATCGTAACAGCCTCACAAAATTGTGGCAAATTTGCTTATCTGGGCCCTTTCAGGAATTTCTAACCTAAACAACTCAACCAGAAGAAATCCTATTTTAAATTGCAGTCACAGGCCATTGTGGCTATATGAGGGGGGTCGTACTTGTGGATGCTGATGTAAGCTGTGGTGCTGACACATCCTGTGGACAGAGCCTCAAAGATAACTGACGTGTCCAGCCGAGAAAGACCCGACCCCCCGACATCCGGCTGAACGTAGATCCCACCAAACCCCAGCTGGGCTGCTTTTCGCATCGTCTCTACGGGAAACGTTTCCTGGGAGGAGAAAAGAACATACACATATCAATAAATGATGATGACGGTGAACTATAACTTAGCAGAGCAGACAAAGCGAATGTGGAGTGCAACAAATCCATATATTAAAAGAAACATACCTTCTCGTCCCACTCTGCCATGTGTGGGGCCATTTCATTGGCTGCAAAGTCAAAGGCCACTTTTTGAAACTCCCTCTGTTCATCTGTGAGTCCATGAGCAGCTGTCAACAAAGAGCACATACACACAACTCATAAAGCACATGAGGATGAAAGCATATGCAACCTAAAAGTGAGGCAGTATGATTTAAACATTGTTGGCAGTGAGTGATCCTGAAGCTGACAGACATTTTGAGTGCTTTGGTCGTATGTGAAGTAGGAGGAGGCTAAACTCTAAAGTCAAGACAATGAATCATTCAACTATTAAATCATCCAACTCAGGCTTGTTTACATCCCCCAGACACATCAAACAACCTGCCTGAGAAGAGGGGCGGTGTTAAGGAGGGGTGTGTAGCTCCCTCTGCCTCCTGACTGGAGGACCAGGAGGAGCAACACAAACCAATGGCAGATAGCTTGACCAACTTTAATAACTGTGTGTGGTAATCTTCTTTTATTAAAAAATACACAGCCACATTGGTCTGTTAGCCCACTTTCCTCGGTTATGGCCACCCTCCTGTCTTTCATTAACACACAGCTGCCATTAGTAACGCTGAGAGCTCTCGTTTTCTGGGACTTACGGTCGATACATGAAGCTATTCCTCGTCTCTGTGGGCTCCTGTTGAGGATTAAACGATGGTTCCTGCAGATGCCGGAGCCCAGTCTGGCGATTCTCGCTAGAGGTCCGACAGGCGCCATGTTTACCTTCCACAGTGCTGAATTATGTCACACGGCCGCGGCTGCTGCTGGGAAATGTAGTTTATTGTCTGTCGCCGAGTGTGGCTCATTGTTGCCCCCTGTGGCTATTAGAGGGACAACCTCAACTACACCTTCTTTTGTTTTTTTTTATTAAACACATAATATGAAACATTCAGGAACTCAATGTGGAGAATACAAACTTTAAATACAACATGAAACAAAAATAGGGGGATTTATAAGAACGATTATGGGAACTAAGTAATTAGATCTTCAGGCATTAATAAGAAACTAAATACATTAATGAGGAGCAAGAAATAAATAAAAAAAAACAGCAAAAAGTGTGAAATATCCTCATAAATATTTTGTGCTATTTTACTGGAATAAAATGTTTTAAGCTATAAGAAAAATTAATTTAAAGTCATTTAAAAAAAACATACAAAGAAAAGCTTACTATGTCTCCATTTACAACAGTGAATACGTAATTTACCAATACAATAATAACATAATTTACCATATATTTATAGATTAATTTAAACTGTCCACATAAAAGACACCGTGATACACCAGTAGGTGTGTCCTGCCCTCTGGCCACAGGGGGCAGTAACGAGCTCAGTACAGTTTGGCGCAACACAATGAGGCGAAGAAGACTAGAAAACTTACTTGAATAAAAACGACACAGAGGTGAGATTAATGTTTTATTAGAGTTTTATTTAAAGGGTTTTCAAACTGAATTTTGTGATTTTACAAAAGAAAAGACTTCAAGGATGAAGACCTGGTTGTTGTTTCCGTTAATGTAGGCCCGGTTAACCGCCCCACCTCCGTTGAAGAGCAGCTTACTACGGACTACTGCCTCCCTCACAGCGGGGGAGACACTGTCATTGGGGGAGACTGTGCTCACTCAGGAACCATTGGCTGGAAGTGCAGCAGCTGGTAAATAAATCAAGTGCGCCGATAAGTTTGTTGACATCACGTGTTTTGGGTGTTTCTCGCGGGCTTTGATGGCGGACCAGCACCTCCCTGCAGCACTGTGGGACTGAAGGTTGGATTGATCAGGACTGAGCTCTGCTTTATCACCTGTACTACTCTCACACTGTAAGGCGCCTCTACTTTACACGTGTTGCTCAGATTTGTGTACAGTCTGAACTAATCTCTGTCATGCATGTCAGATGATGATGATGATGATGATGAGGAAGAGGAAGAGGAAGAGGAAGCATGTTCCTGTGCTCAAAGTGCTCAAAGTAGGAGAGTACAATTGGGAAAAGGGTTTATATTCCTATTTTCTAGGTAGGAAGTTTAACATGTGTAATGCAATCAAATTAAACACCGGCACAAACTACAAACTTCTTTTAAAAAAGCTTCAATACAAACTGAACACTATAATATATACATATAATGTGATGGTAGGATTTATTGCAGGGCTGTTGTGTTATTCTGCATTACTTTTAGATTGATGTAACTGATCAGCTGATATCTGGATATCTCATTTTTGCTCCTAGGAAAATATAAAATGCTTTCACAGTAATTTTTTTTGTGTCAAGCTGCAATAAGTCAACCAACAGAAAATTAATCAGTATCAATAAAGCAGTATTAATCAGCAACTATTTTGAATAAGCAGTTGTCTTTAAAGTGAATATTTGCTGGTTTCCTTAATCTTCAATGGTTGTAAATTTTATATATATATATTTGGGGTTTGGACTGTTGGTTGGACAAAACAAGACCCATGAACTTGACCTTTTTTCACTCAGGGGATTATAAATGCAGATAGTAAAAATTGTTGTTAGTTGCGACCCTAATGGTAAGGGTTCTTTGGTAAAATCAGTTCAGAAATTGTTAATAAAATGAACATATGTCTTGCAAAAATCATGTGAAATTATAATATAGCCATAAAGAGAACCATTGATTTGCACCATTGCTTTCAATAGTTTAATAGATCTAGAGAGACAAATTGATTTCATCTCAAGGTATAGATATTGTCATATCACCATCACCAACCATATTGTGGATGATAATTTATGTTTTCACGTTACAGACTGTGAGAGATGCCACCAAAGACAAGGGCCAGAGTCGGTAAAAGAGCAGCTGATTCAGGTAAAACAAATGAACTCACAAAGTAAAACCCATTGTCTGGTATGGTATACCTTCTGATGAGTGACAATTAATGTCTCAACTCCACAGGGAAAGACGATGATGGTGAAACAGCTGTCGGTAAAAGGAAGGCGACGGGAAAGACGAAGGAGAGCTCAGAGTCAGCTGGTTCTCCAGAGTACCGCCACTGGCTGATGAAGTCTGAGCCCGAGAGCCGCTTTGAGAACGGGATCGACATGAAGGTACGCAGCGGTGACGGTCATCAGCACAGTATGTTGTTAAACTGGAAAATGTGGGTGAGCTGCTCTCGTCTGACGCATCTGGTTCATTCTGCAGTTCGGGATCGAGGATCTGAAGGCTTTGCCTAATCAGACTGACTGCTGGGATGGCGTCCGCAATTATCAGGTAGAAACACAGAACTGTAATGAAAACGCCTCAGATAAGGCACCAGCACAATGCCACTCTGAAAAGGCTTTTTTGTCATGTTCTCCTCACCAGCCTCGGTTCTCTCTGTGGGAATGTTCCTCTAAATTATCTGTCATCTGATCTGCAGGCGCGCAATTTTATGAGGCAGATGAAAGTCGGGCAGTTGGCTTTCTTTTACCACAGCAACTGCAAGGAACCGGGCATAGCAGGAGTCATGAAAGTAAGTCACTCTCCCCGCTGAGAGTATTCGAATTATTTCAACAAAGCTGCAGACAGGCCTGATACTCCGCTGTGTTTCCTTTTTTTAGATTGTGAAGGAAGCCTATGTGGACCACACTCAGTTTGATAAGAAGGATGTCCATTTCGATGCAAACAGTAAACCAGACAACCCCAAGTGGAGCATGGTAGGCTAATTCAAGAATAACAGCGAATGAATACTGCCTAAAATACCAATGCCAATGATATCAATCATACAGGCTTAGTAGTATATTAAAAAAGAATGATTTATATAGTATATTTTAACGGCTGATACACAAAGTTCAGGTATCAGGAAGGAAAAAATGGTATGGGGACATTCTCTAATAACAGATTAAAGCCTGAAGGTTGATCTTGTTTTCTTCTCTTTTAGGTAGATGTTCAGTATCAAAGAATGACGAAGCGTTTTCTTCCTCTGTCTGAGCTGAAAAAGTACCACCTGCAGCATCGCGCCGCAGGAGGGCCTCTAAAGGACATGGCGCTTTTCACAAGAGCCAGACTCTCTGTGCAACCCCTAACCACTGGTAAGTGTAGCAGGAGGAGCATGTTACTTATTCTACCAGGTAATGCCTGTGTCTTTTTTTATTACATAGCTCGTTATTCTTTCTATTCTGCTCTTTCTCTGCAGAGGAGTTTGACTTTGTCCTGAGTTTGGAGGATGAAGAGCCTCTGTGAGGATTTGGACCAACTGATGCTTTCTGACACTGTAAAATCATGAAGCAGCAGCTTACTGGTTTTTTTTATCTTGTTTATAAATGTTATTAAATGTGTTTTGCTCAAATTATGGCTCAAACTCAGTTTTTAACTTGTAACGACTTTTATTGGACAACTTCAGCCCTGAAACTACAGGCTCTGGATACCAAAGAGCAGCAGTATATAAAGCAGTACAATATAAGTACGTAATGTTGTAAACTGCAGTTTTCCCTCAGTATAGCTTGTTTGATCGCCATTACTCAATATGTCATTTGTGTATAGCAGCATAAGAGACCATTCTTCACAATCCCCAACACCCATTTAATGCAAATTTCACCTGATACAAATTACTTAACATTCTGCGCTCCATAAATTTCCCTAATGAGGTCCACTGCTGTCCAGTGATGAGGAAGTGAGGGGGAAGATAAACGTTGACGTCAAGCAGAACTCGTAATTCCTTCAGCAATGCGTATGTAAAATTCTAATTTATTATAGGAACAGCAGCGACTGACGTATTTAACTGTTTCAGCTTAAGTTTGATGCATTATTATGGAACCAATCACTAGCTGCAGTTATATGCACTTTTTTTTTCATTCTGGATCACCTGTTAACATGGGCTGTGATCTATGTACAGTCTGGTGTTTATGACACTTTAATTTAGAACAGATGTGTGACATGCTTCCATGCTTTCCGGGGTATGATCCACTATTGTTTTTGGGATTTAGCGTGTTAAGAGGCAGCAGCTTTCAAAGTTTTCCAGCAGTTTTTAAGTTGTAATACACTTCAGTTTATCCCAGCTTAATTCCGTTTTTCTTGAATGTTACTCTGAGGATCCATAAGCATTTGAAAAATCTGAAAAAACACTACCTGCTCAAAGCTCTCACGTGTTAAATGTCTCTCCAAGGTTACACAACTCACCCATTTACTGTATGTAGCATTGTTAGTAGATCTTTGTCATGTGGTGTTTTAATTATTTAGTTTTATCATGTCTGTCACAAACACTCATTTCTACAATACAACCAAAGAGTTTTTTTTTTTCCATTTGGCATCAATTTATTTGACTTTTGGGGACAAGGAAGAATTGATTAGCATTTTGCAAAAGATAGATAGTTCTAATGTAACATTTCTCTGGTTAAAAGACTAAAATTATGTTAGAGGCAGGAGGATTTCATTTGCTTGATACACTTAGGCACAACTTTCAAGTCTCTAATAAAGAGGATACAGAAGACTTCATACTATCAGACCTTAACACAACACCCTCTCCTAACAATACTGGAATGCTGAGGTAAAGCATATGAACATGAAAGGTCATTTTGTGGCACTGTGTACTACTGTATAGTCAACGTACACAAGCAGGACCAGGGAACAAGATTAAAGGTTTTAGCTGGTCTTATTTACAGATAATAATAAAAAAATGTGTGGGTTAATACTTGAGCCCTCTCACTCAAAAAAGATTCCAGTTTCCACTATTTTTTTTGTGCAAACACAGAAACACAGAGAAAAATGTGTTCAGCCAGATATAGCAGTGCAAAGTATCTCAGATTTCTTGACCTCATAACAGTGTTAGGAATGCATTCATTTAAGGTGGAATGTTGTTGAAAATTCATGACAATTCAGTTGCGTTAATAAAGAAATTAGAAATCAATTTATCCCGAGAAAAGCGTTAGAGTGTAACCAACAGAAGGCTTACAAATTCAATAATTTCACATGAAACATTTACACATTGCGACAGGTGATTAGTTTGATTCCCATAAAGAAAAAGAATTAATGCATTAATGAGGAAGGACAAGACCAGCAGCCTGAAGCCACTCTGAATGCCTCATGCAAACTGTTTCATTGTTCACATACTCTATTACTGTATGTATGGTCTCCCTTCTTCCTCCCAGCAGCGGCTACGAATAAAAACAGCTGCTTCACCAGATGTTGTACAGTTGACAGGTACCTCCGACACTCCGTCGCAGACGCCGATGAGTGCCGAAAGAGGAGACTGGAGGGGCTGCGGCTCTACCCGCTCTCCTCCTTCGCGGCCTGCTCCAGCGCGCTCTCTGAAGCAGCAGAGCCCTCGAACCTCTGAGAGGCGATGGCGGCCTGATGAGACATGCTCTTCCTCACCACGTCCCCTTTCCTCCACAGTGTGATTTCCTGCATAGGACAAGGAGTGGAGAAAAAGACTGGTATTAATGAACTCAAGAAACTCAAACATGCTATCATCCCCTAGAGTGGATTACTGTATATCTTTTGTCCTTTCCTATCCAGGAACACTGTTGCACAAGTGCAGCAATTTTTGTGAAGCACTTTAACTTTGTAATTTTGAATACAAATAGGACAATAAAGCTTTTATTTATAGTAAAATAAAATGCTATACTGTTCATCCCAAGTGACACCAACTATCGTTTTATGCAAACAAAAAACAAGATAAATAATTAGTTAAGCTTTACATGTGTCTCTTATCTACAACAAATGGACCAAACATGAGATCTCTTTTCCCTAATGATGTTTCTTTTTTCAACCACAATCTGTATTCCTGTCAACAGAACTCTTTCACAGCAGTCATTGTTGCCTGATATGATTTGTCATAGTAGGAAAGGCACAGTTGTTACTAATAACATTAACAATAGCTCAGTTAGACAACACCAGCACCCTGCAACTAGCTCACCTTATACATGTTAGCTATTACACCTGTGCCTTTGCTGCAGTGAAAACACCTATAGGAAACTGTATACAGTCCTACTTTATCCTACCTACCAGAGTGCACTGTTTAGGGCTGGGACTAGCTATTTGCATTATCAATCTGTTTTTTGTTTTATTACAGAAAGAAAAAGTCCATCAAAATGACATCTTTAAATACTTTGTTTTTGAGTCCAAAAACCAAAGATATTACATTTCCCAAGACACAAAAGTGAGAAAAGCAGCAAATCTTCACATTTGAGAGGCAAGACACCAGTAAATATTTTAGACAAATTACTTAAACAATAAATGGATTATCATATTGTATCGTTTCCAAAGCAAATGATACATTATGTGCGCAAACAGATGTTAATTAAATACCAACCTTTGAATGCCAACTTCACAAGTGTGTTTCCAAAGACTTAATACTTCTCTGTTGTCATCCAATACATTTCTGTAACTCAGATCCCACCTTAAATCTATTTGAATGTTTGACAGCCCAATACTCAAAGCTTTCTTACAATTACTACGTAGTATAGAATCGGGACACAGATACAGTAGTATTTTACTATTGAATATTTCTCTCTCTCTCTGTTCTATTCCATGTAAAGGAAACCCAGCCAGCGGTTAGCCAACTACTCAAGTTTCTGCAGCAGCAATGTAACTGTATTACAGTGCTGGGGCTACATATTACACTTACACAGATGTTTCTAAACTCTGATTACTGCTGGAAGTGACGAATATTCAGATTATTGTAATACATGTGAACACACTGAGCGGCCAGTCTGACTTTTGGCTTTGAGCACGATCCTTTATCAGCACTAGCCTACCTGTTGTTTGAAGTAACGTCTCTCCTCCTCATCAATCAGCACCAGGTTCAAGTAGTAGCGCACAGAGAACTTCTTGTTGATGTCTCGCATGGTGGGAGTCAGATCATAACCGGCCAGAAATAACCGGATGGGAATGGACTCTCCTGAAATATGAAACACGTGGTGACAGGTTAGATGATGTGGATCTCGACTGAATGACCAGATGCTTCGTGATTAAAATCGAAGACTGAAGTGTTGTTTACCCCTGACCGGAGCTCCGTCCATAATCTCGTACTTGGCGATAGTGTCGTTTTCATGGTACACACTTGGGCCGGTGCCCGTTGTCTCACGTTTTATGATGTCAATCTCCATGTGCTTAATCTTAATCCTCACCAGCAGGAAATAGATCTTTCCCACAATTACATCTTTCAGATGGTACCTGTCAAGAGGACGAATGAAGACACAAATGAAGAGAACGAGGGCTGTAAATCACATGTAGTTTGGTAACTGAGCACAAACAGAATATTGTTATATTATAGATTGTTTCTCCAGTGTCTGCATACTTTACACTGCCCCTGGACATCATGAAATAACTCCGTTACAGTTGAAATTATTGGTCGATGAATCAAAAATGTATCGCCAACTATTTGGATTTTTAATTGAGCAACTGTTGCTGGTTTCAGCTTCTTTAATGTCAATATTTGCTGGTTTTCTTTGTCTTCTGTGATAGTAAGCTGAATGTATTTTAGGTTTGGACTGCTGCTCAGACAAAACAAGGCACCAAGGCTCTGGGAACTTGCATGTACTGACATTTTATAGACCAAACGATTAATTAATCAATAATAAAAATAGCTTTCAGTTGCAGCCCTAACTGTCTTTCTGCATTACAAGCGTGACTCAGACTAGAACGACTACAGTAGCACTCATTCTGGTGTATTTTTTGTTATTATTTGTGTTCACTTTAACAAACTGGGTAAATGAAATGATAATGAAATGTTGATTTGACATTTAGATTACAACAAATTTGATAGTGGTTAATTGTTCAAATAATTTATTCTATTATTATTATTATCAGCTTCTCAAATGTGTGGTTTTGTTGCCTTTCTCTGTTTTATAGGTAAGGATACATATTATATTATATTTGTGTTTAAAACTCTTTTATTGTTTTAAGTCTATGTGCTTTTGCTTGCTTGCTTTTATTGTTTTTTTGTTATTGTGTGTTAGGTTTCCTTAGATATGAAATGTACTATATAAATACATTTGTCTTGCATTGCCTTGCCTAAGACTGCAGACTGGTCAGGGGGGGCAAAGCAAAGCGGGGCCCTCATCTTAGGCTCTGTGACATCTGAGGGACATTTGTCATTATGTTTTCACTAAACAGTTCATTTAAATGAATGTATATAGATTAATCAACAATGACAAATAAGAGAGTCTTACTTTGATTTGTTGTATTCAAACTCAATGTGGAGACAATCCTCAATGCCAACTTCCATTTTAATGGAGGAGTTGAGTTCGGGGTAAGTGCTCAGTGTGTGGACCACGATGTCCATCTCTTTACTGATGTCATTTAATCTTCTGATCACAGTGGCACGAAGAAAATATCTGCAAATGGAACAAACAGAGACTTTAAACAATACTGTTTCCACATTATCACAACGAACCCATAAAATATATATACACCACAGGTAAATGTAGGCAACATCCGTTTAAATTTAACCACATGACAGACAGGTTAAAGAGTGACACTGACAGTCACTCATTTCACTAACGTAGAGTGAATGATCAAACTTACCTTAGCTTGACATTCTGGCCTGTGTAGGACTCGTAAGGTTTTTCAACATGAGTAAACTCAAAGTCGAAGGTCTGCGACTGAGTTATTTCACCCGGTCTTGCGAGATCTTTCACGAGGGAAACAAACTCATGATGGTTCCCTCTGTCGTAATACAGCTCTAGAAAAGAAAGATGCGATCGACAAAATAAGTGACGTCCACTTTGAGAATAAAATGTTTACACAAGAAGATAACGTCAACATTTACTGATGTAAATGATAAATGTAGGTTTTGTAATACGGAGCTAAAATCATATGTGTTTATTTCATGGTTGGCCCTCATGAAGTAAGTTTGGACAGATATACAGTCATATACTTTCATTTAAACTTTCACCTGAAGTTTTGATCTCTACTATAAATGCTCCACTGTGTGTACGATCTAGTCTTTAACTGTGTCTGCCGTTCAGCATTGAGCAGGTTGTGTTCCCTGAAGAGCTGTGAGAGCGAATCAGTACAGTTAAGTTTTGGGTCTGGGTGAACACTGGGAGTAGCTGCAGATTGGGGTGATCATTTTCTGTGGGTTCATCACAATGAGACTCATATTTTCACACTGTTATTAGAGCTGCTCGATTATGGAAAAAAATATAATTATTTTGGTCAATATTCTCTGTGTGATACTTCTGATTTCTTTCTCTAACTCAGTCACCAGCGACACGCTGTCAACTCTCCACATGTTACCTACACACACACACACACATCACTGAGAGTCGATACGTGCGCTGCAAGCTGTCATTTGCTTAGGCTCTCTTCTTATTTGAACAAGGTTTTGAGACTTGTTACATATTCTAAATACGCAAAAGGCCCGATCTACAACCAGAGCAGCAACAGCAACCTGTAGATTAAAAAAAAACCTCTCATTCTAAGGTAACAAAAACACATCATACCTATATTGAGGTGATTATACACTAATGAAAACACACCTATAAATATTCTATTCTATTTCTGTCAGTAGATCTTACACACCTGACCTTCAGTTGTGCAGCCCTGATGTTAATACTTTAGAGACCCTCCTCAGTGTTATTAATATTTTCTTAAAAAAGGAACAAATACACTATCTAAAATTAACATAATACTATGGTAGTGGTAAGTGGTACAATTCATTTAATTAAAAAGGTGCACAAATAATTTATGCTTGTGTACTGCTGCAATAACTAGTGTACAGTCCCTGATATAAATGGCTTTTTGTCTATTCTATGTCTTGTTGACGAAGAGAAAAAGGAGGAAGGAGCCAGACTGTGCTGCACACTGTATGAACTCACTGGTGAATGTAATAATGTGGAAGTTAGGATATTTTCTACCCACCTATTTGGCCAACAAATTCAATTTTGATCCCTTGGTGCTCCAGTCTCTTCCCGGGGTTCTTCAGTGTGACATTCACCTTTCCACTGACAGTCTCGCCATCGTAGAAGAGAAAGTATTTGTCTTTCTTTCCATCTTCAGTCTTGTGTTCAGCCTTCTTCCTCGTCTCAGCGTCATTCAGGACTACATCAATTTCTGCACTTTGTCCGAAACTAAAGAAACTCATTGTAACGTTACAATGTGTGTGTCTGTGTGTGTGCTGTGTAAAAAAAATACCTCTTTTCGTAACGTTACTCTGACTTGTTCGCAAAAACTATAAACCAACAACAAAAAAACAACAACAAAACAAAGCTGCTAATGTGAAGTAGAAAAGAAACACACAGAGTAAGGCCTGCAGGGTGTGCGACCTCACTTCCCTCTCGGAGCACACAGCACACTGTTAAACATGGGGGAGGAAAGTCGACGATATTTTACAGAACAACACATTAGCTACATGTCCGCACTCATTTCCAACGACGAGGCAAAATAGCGATACGATGGCACAACGCGAGATAATACGTCCATCAGCAAGACTGGTCGTTTCTTTCTTTTTTTTTTTTGTTTCCTTCTGTTGCCCTTAATGCCTCCCAGGAATAGTCTACACTGGTCTCAACCTAGTCTGCGTCGTAATGGACACAATCCTCGCTGGGTGAATATATTTTACATGTTTGTTTTTCTGTAAGAAAAGACGATGAATGTTGTCAAACGACCAGGATGTACGCCATCTGCATTGGGTGAACTCTTTCCGGGTGGAGTTTTTCAAAATAAAATACAGAGAATGGGAATATCTTTGGGCGCTGGTGCTTCAAACCGGAAGTGAGAGCTTTTTAAACAACAAAACAAATAGATGGGTGACAAAATTAAAGGTAAAAAAAAAAAAAGGAACGACACATAGTGAATGCAGATGCTTTAACATAAGTGCTCTGCATGGTGCAAGTAAACAGTTCATCAGAACCACTGTTATTGGCCCGGTATGTGCTCCAGTTTTACATTGCTCTAGATGTACAAACACAGATCAAGCATAAATAAACAGGACACCAAGCTTCACAAAATAAACATACACTACTATGTGCAGTTATACATATATAAAAACAACCAAAAACCAATAATAATTTGTAGACAGTAAACAATAGTGCAATGGTGCAGAGTGCAAAGGATGCTGAAATAAATATTTATGTGCAGGTTTCTTTATGTAGATGAGGTAGGTGGATATGACAGATGGCAAGAGGGAAAGATCTATGTCCATGGTCCCCATCCTTTTTCCTTTAGGGACCCGTTTTCTGTCATTGAGTAACCTGACGACCCGTGCTTAAGTGACATATTTTATGTGTATTTCATATTATAGTAAAAACTGTACAAACAACCCAAATAGAAAACTTAGCAAGAAGTTTATTTAAAACGAATGATTTTGATGAATATTGAGCGGATTATTATTCAGCGTTTTTTAGTCCCTTAAGCTTGGCCATTGTTCTGTTCCATCTACTTTACTTTACTTTATTTACTTTTCTTCACAGAAGTGACCTGAATGCTGAAATACAGGCCTACTGTGCCTTTAAAATCAAGAATGCCTCATGACCCCTCATGAAGCTTTGGTGATCCCTAGTGGGGGTCCTGACCCCATGTTGGGAACCACTGATCTAGGTCACTTATGTAGGCGTTCTTTGTTAGGGCACGGATGGCAGGAGGACTGCTTAACTCGCTAGTGCTTTAATAGCAACAGTGACTAAAGTGACATATGCATTTAGATCTATGGGAAAGAAATCGACTAATAGGGTTGGAAATTGTGGTTGACACGGCACATTTCATGATCGTTATGCTCATGCATTAGTGCAATATATAGGCCTATGGAAAAACAATAGAGCAGCTCTTCCTCATATGACTGAGAATGTCAATGCAGGCTGTGATCAGACTGACAGAAAGAACAGTCCATCGACGCATAAAGAGGGATATCAGAGTTGCAGCGCATAAATAACAACAACAGAAACCATAGGCTCTGGTCTACAGGGAGGTAAAAAAAAAGTGACATGGTCAGATGAGTCATCCTTCACCATATTCTTGACAAGTGGGCGAATGCATGTGTGTCATGTCAAGTCACGTCAAGTCACTTTTTATTTATAGCAAAAAAACACATCTCATTTTTCCTCAGAGGGATTTACAATCTGTACATCTGTGTGTCTTACACCAAGAGAACAGTACAGGCCTGAATGTTGACCCCTGCAGTGCGGGGATCAGGTGGCTCTGTTAGGCTGTTGGGGGGCATTTTGCTGGCATGGAGGGAAGGGTCACCGCAAATCAATACAAAGTTGTTCTGAGTGATCACCTTAATCCTATGACGACTAATTTCTATCCTGTATGATGTGAATCATATCTATGGCCTCCCCTGTCAGCCAGATCTTAACCCAGTTAAACACCTATGGGAGATTTTGCATCAATGTGTTAGACGGCGCCCCCTACCACCATCCTTAAAACAGACACTTGATGTTGGTTTCTCCTTGTTGTCACCTATCTCTATATACTGCATCATAATATTGTATATGACTTTGTACTTTGAGTTTTCTATCTTAATTTAAGTAAGTAAGACCAGTGGAGAAAACTAATATTCGTATAATAGTATATTTACTCAACTGTACTTAAGAATATTTTTTAGAAAGCAGTGGTGGAAGAAGTATTCAGGTCCTTTCAGAGGTTGGCAAATAAAAGTGAAAAAGTACAGGCTCAGATATATAAAAGTTTTTCTAAAAGTAAAAAGTACTCACTTGGTTTCTCTGAAGGACATTTCTACCAGCTGTTTCCATGCAAAGCTAATTGAAACTTCAAATAGGGTTGAGTCTCCCTCTCTCCCTCTTGTTATGCACAGGTCCTGATGTTCGGAAGGTGTGCAATGATGAAAAAAAATAATAATAATCAAAATTCCCCTCAAATGCATTAAAACCAAAGTAATGAGCCTGTTTTTGAGAATGTAAGGAGTAGAAAGTACAGATATTTGTATAAAGATGTAGGCGTAAAAGTAAAATGTTGTCAGGAAAATAAATACAAAGTACAGATATCTAAAAGAACTACTTAATTACAGTGACAAAGTATTTGTACTTAGTTTACTTAAGTAGCAGTATCACAATGTAATAATACTCCATTACAAGTTAAAATAAATAATTCAAACACATTCAAAGATACAAATGTAAGCATACAAAGTAGTTATACAGTACATTACATTAGTACAGTACATTATACAGAAGAATGGCCATATATATATTATAATATAGGATTATAATTACTGATATAAGCAGCTAGTGGAGCTGTTTTAAACTTCTTTTGTGTAGTTTAATTTCTAATAATGCATATATCATATTTAAGCTCACTTTTTTATATAACACCTTAATATGTTAAGTAACTGGTAGCAATAGCTGTCAAAAATGTTTGGAGTTTGGAGTAGAAGTATAAAGCAGCATAAAATAGAAATATTATAAATTTTACTCTACTTATCAGACAGCTGTTGTCTGTTTTTAAAGAGCAGATTAAGATTGTTAGATGCAAAAATATGAATTTACGATAGGATTAATTGTTGATTAAAGATAATAACAATAATAAAGTTGTTAAAATGAGTTCCACCTTGACCAGCTCCACTATTAAAATGCTGTTATATACTTTAACATTCTGCTTGACTGTGTTTAAATTTAAGACTAAATAGTTTTACAGTATTCTATAAAGCTGACAATTTCTGTCCTTTCTCAAACTCATATCTGACAATACACTCCCATAATAACCACATCAAACATTTGAGTCTCCACAACATTTTAACAGTTCAAATGTATTTAATTGTAACAAAATAACATGAACATATAGCATTAATATCAAATGAACAGTGGACATTTTACAACAGTTCCTGAGTTGTTACACAAATCATTGACACTAATGTTTGAAATGACAGGCTCAACACTGCAGAAACACACTGAACAGTAAATACTGTAAATTTATTTCCAACAAACAGTTTTATTGCATATTTACAATAAGGTATGGAGTGCAATGTATGAAAATTAAAAGATCAAAAAATGTTATGTATTTATGTACATTAAATACTGAGTCAAAACTGGACAATATGTCCGATACTCACAAAATAATTAGTAAAGCACAGAAGGTCACTTATACACAGAAACAGCACTCTAAAAATCATACTTCACCACCTTTATAGTACATATTGACTTTGCAGCATAGTGGGATATATGGTATTCAAATTCACGGGTTACTCGTACATACTTGTTATCTGTAAATATAAGAAAGGCTGATAAATTGTGCCTTCTGAATCTGAGCTCATCAGCCTTATACAGTCTGCTGCTTATTGCCTGTGTAACTACAGTATATACAAAAACAAGGTTCAACTCTCCCCCACGTAAAACAAAATACGAACATGTTTATCTTATGAACAAATATAATGTAAAGGAGTTTTGTAAAACAATTTCAGTGTGTACTCAGTAAAAAGTTTAAGAGTTATAAAAGAGGATTTGTCCAAAAAACTGTGAAGGAATGTAGCTTCCAGCATCTTTTGCGATGATACCATGGGCCAAATATCAAATTCCACAGCTTTGTGATGGTTTTACTGTTTAATAAAAACATGCTGGAAAATAAACTAAATAAGGAGTAAAAAATAATGTTTTAATTGGAAAATAATACGAACAGAGAATAAAATTTAAAAAATGCTATTACGTTATAAAAAACATGAAACAGTGCCACAAAATGATATTAAAATTACTTTGGCAAGTTGGTTGATTTGAGTTTTATGTGCATCAGAGAATAATGTGCCATGTTACACCTCAAACTTCATCATCTGGAGCATCATTGTAGCAAGTTAACCGTAACAGTTTTTGTGTTTGTCCTGGTTCCATCTTATCGTCCGTCTCAGCCGTCAAATAATGAATGAAGACTTGTGGCGAAAATGGCCCTGTGAAAAATAGGAATCAGAAATTTAGTATGCAGAACACCTCCTTTAATAGCTTCCTTTGTTCACAGTAAGACATGCAGTAAACGCTTTGTTTACCTCATCTGCATCGCCATAGTCAACGCCATCAGTCTGTGCTGGCCAGTTGTAGCTGAAACAAACAAAACAAATACACAATAAAATACAAAATCCTTCACATGATGTAGAATTAAAGAAACAGATTAACATATGGTCTCTTTCCTGCTCCAGACCCGTAGCGTACACTCACTTATTTTCATTGTGACCTTTTTTGTGGAAGCATCCACGTCTAAGGGAATGACAGATGGAACCAGTCAGACAGACGAATACAATCACTGCACCAAACGACTTGAGGAAAATCCCAAGGATGTCGACGTCATCTGCAACAGGACACAGAGAGGATATCTTAACAGAGTTAGGTGGCCTGACTAATTCTGATTTACATCAACAGAGCACTATGATCTTTGTTCTTGTATATTTATATTTATTTTACATGAAAGTACTGAAGTACTGAAAGTAATTAATTCAATTTGATAATCCTAGCATACCAAGTAAAGCTATCATAAATGTGCCTCTATCAGCATCTGATCACATTACACTATTGTTGTTACTGTGCACCTTTGTCTCTGCCCGTCTCTCTTTACCAATATAATAAATAATATTAATAATAAATACAATGAAATAAAATAGCTTTAAAAAAAACTGCGGGCTCTGATATTTTGTGTATATCATATTGACATGTACATATTATTGATTGAACATAAAGAATCAGTAGTGAAAACCATGTTGTATCTG